GTAAGTTTTGTGTCACTAGACTTATAGCTAATCATGTTTTGCATTGGTAGAACATGAACTCCATTTTACCTCAAATATTTATAATGAGCTTGTATATATTATATTTTACAGTTGTTCAACATGTGAATGTTTCTGATATGAAATGTGACATTCCCGAATTAAGGGGCGATAACTATAAGGTTTGGAAGGAGCGTGTTCTCGTTCATTTGGGTTGGATGGACATTGACTATGCAATAAGAAAAGACAAACCATCGGCTATAACTGTAACTAGCACTCCAGATGCGATTGATCTTTATGAAAAATGGGAGAGATCTAACCGTCTCTCTGTAATGTTCATAAAGACCAAAATATCTGCTAGTATCTGTGGTTCCATCGACCAACATACTAAAGTCAAGGACCTTTTGAAGGCTATTGATGAGCAATTTGCTACATCTGATAAGGCCCTTGCCAGCACCTTAATCATACAGTTCGCATCCATGAAGCTCACTGGGATATGAGGCATGCGTGGACACATCATGCACATGAGGGACATATCAGCTCAACTGAAAGCTTTGCAGGTGATCATGTCAGATGATTTTCTGGTTCACTACATCCTTTACACTTTTCCACATCAATACACTCCCTTTAAGTTCTCCTACAACATACATAAAGAAAAATGGTCAATTAATGAGCTTCTAACCATGTGTGTTCAGGAGGAGGAGAGATTGATGATGGAAGAGGGTGAACGGGTGAACTTGACTGTCCATGAGAAGAAAAAGAAGGATCAGCATGCCAAAGGTAAAGGCAGCATCCCTCCACAGGCAGTCATTAAGAAAGAGTCAAAGTGTTTCTTTTGCAAGAAAAAGGGACACATGAAGAAAGAATGCTCTAAATTCAAGAGATGGCTCGAAAAGAAAGGTACTCCATTAGCTTTTGTGTGTTATGAATCTAATATGGTAAATATTAATCACAACACATGGTGGATTGATTCAGGTTCAACAATCCATGTTTCTAATACCTTACAGGGTATGGAAAACCTAAGGAAACCAGTGGCAAATGAACAATGCATCTATTCAGGAGGAAAAATAAGTTCACATGTTGAAGCCACTGGGACATGCAATTTAGTTTTAAGCATCGGTTTTATTTTACGATTGGAAAAGACCTTTCATGTTCCTAGTTTTTCTAAGAATTTGACTTCTGTTTCGAGACTAGCTCCTTTAGGATTTTGTTTCCATTTCTCAAGTTCTGGTTTTACCTTAATATATAAATCAAAAGCTATTGGTTTTGGTTCATTAATTGATGGTCTTTATTCAATTGATGTGAAAATGATGTTGCTTATGATTCAATGCATGTAACAACTGGTTCAAAACGATATATTGTGAATGAGATCCTCTATGTTGTGGCATCGGAGACTATGACATATCTCTATTAAGAGAATTAAGCGTTTAGTGGACGAATGAGTACTTAGTACTCTAGACTTTGCTGATTTTGATACTTGTGTGGGTTGTATTAAGAGTAAACAAACCAACAAGTACAAGAAAGATGCTAAGAAGAGTTCTAACCTATTAGAAATCATACATACAAACATTTGTTGTCCAGATATGGACGTAAATAGTCCGAGATACTTTATCTTCATAGACGATTATTCACGATACATGTATCTCTACTTACTTCGTTCTAAAGATGATGCATTAGATGTATTTAAAATTTTTAAGGCTGACGTAGAGAAGTAATGTAATAAACAAATTAAGATCGTGAGATCGGATAGGGGTGGAGAGTACTATGGTAGATATACAGAGAATGGACAAACACTATGGCTTACCCTCTACGTATGACTTATTGTAAGTAGGGAAGTAAAGAGGGTAAGCATTATACGTAGAGATATATCCAAACCAATCTAAATCGCACCACACATGGAAAGATAACATAGGCGTGATGAGTGCGACGACAACGCCTTGTGAGATCACATGTGCAGACATATCCGATGCTAAATATTTTCTTGAGATTGTTGGTGGAATTCGGCCGGATAAACCTGCAAAAAAACGTTTTGAAAAATAATATAGTTCAAGTCGCATAAATGTTGTCCTCAAGAAAGTATTTCCGACTAATGAACACATTTTTCCAAGATAAAACAAGCTCTTCAACACAAATCAGTAACAGAACAACAGAGTAAAACTAATATTAATCCATCCGAGAGCGTAATGTTTGATGGGGGAAATGTTAAAGTGTTATCACACCAAATAAGCAGCCAGGTGGGTGAGGTGGCCAAATATATATACGTTGAAGACATGGACGTTGATGCTAACGTTTGTAGTAAAGAAACGTTCTCATTATATATTAAATAAGATTAATGTTAAAGCTTTCATGTTGATAATACGCAAGCCGTTTAAAGAAAATGTACAGCACATCAATATGGCAATTTACAGTTGGTATATTGTGGGATGATCCCACGGTGAGCATCGTGTTCCACTTTCAAAATGACATAGCTTTGCACAATTTAGAAAAAAATCGCGTGTACAGTAACTATTTTTTCTTTATTTTTATTCCAGTAGCATGAATGATGTAACTCGCGTGTAAAGATACTACCTCCGTCCCTTAAAACTTTGCCAAAGTTGACCGACACGGAGAATAATAAAGTAAAAATTGTGTGGTTGAAGTTTGTGCAAAGGAGAGAGAAATAACAGAAACCACAAAATAATTGATTAAAAGGGAAAGTGACAAAGTTTTTTGGGACGTTCCAAAAAGAAAAGATGTCAAAGTTTTAAGGGACGGGGGGAGTATGTAACTTACGTTATTGATCAATGTAACTCAAGTGTATTCGAAATGTATCTTGTCAAATACATAGTGTTAGAAATACAATATTGATTTCATTTTAAATAATGAAAAAAGAAAGTCTATTAATTGCACAGTTGCTTTAGGTAAACTGTGAATATGTTTTGCTTTTAATATATAATGACCATAAAAAATAATTTTTTAAAAAAGATCATTTTTTGTTTCAATAACAGAGGTTGATTTTTTAATGTAACTCATGTTATTACTAATGTAACTCGCGTTGATGACAAATATAACTTAGGTGTATACAGAATGTAATTTGTTGGAAAAATCAACAAATTTTTTGTGTGTTTGAGAATAATATATGTATCATAAACATTGATTTCAATGTAAATAATGAAAAATTGATCCTAATAGCTTAATTACTTTTTTTAAATAGAGAATATATTTTATTTTTGATATTAGGGCTATAAAAATGATATAACAGGGGTTTATTCCGTGATGTAACTCGCATACATTAAGATGTAACTGAAGTATATTAAGATGTAACTCGCGTACATTAAGATGTTATTCGGGCATAAAAAGATGTAACTTCATGATATATTACCAAATGTAACTTCAAGTATCAAAATAAACAAACTCAATGTCTTAAAAACCTCTAAAAACATATAAAAGTGATAAAAAATTATATTATAGAAAAAGTGTGTCAATATAAAAAAATATTACAAAAAAGTGTATGAATACAAAAAGTATATTACAAAAAAAGTATTTGAATATAAAAATTATTACAGAAATAAAAATAGTGTATGAATATGAAATGCAATATATTTATTTTATTTAGATTAATAAACTTTTTGTTATGTATTGATAAAGAATAAAAAATAGATTCAATTATAATTTAGGATGAAGATAAAAAAAGTAGGATTGCCATTAAATATTTAGTATTTTAATTTGATGGAAAAAGAAAAGAATTGAACAAAAGAAAAAATAAAGAAAGAAAAGCAAAAGAAAAGGAATGAACGTTGCTCCAAGAAGAAAGAAAAGGGAAAGACACTAGCCTAAAGTGGGATCGACCCACAATGCGGAAGGTGGACCGATCCCACATTATAATTTGCGGGCAATTTACCATGATTATTAGAAGAAAAGAACCGTTGCTGCCAGGTAGGAAAATTATTAATACACTTTATGATAATAATAAAAGCAACAACACCGTCAACACGCACTTCAGTTTTTTATAGAAGCTCAATGAACATTTATTAATATTTTTAAAAGTAATAAGAAAAGTAATGGTTTAAAAATTGGCACCAAGATAATAATATTTATCATGGTAATAATAGTATTTAATCATTTGAAATACTAGATCCCAAACTCGTGATGAGGGTTTAATATTGAGGGGTTTCTATTATTTTATGGGTTGGGTTTTACTACTTTCTTTATTTTCTCTTTTCCTTGGTTTTCGATTGTATTTGTACTTTGATTTCATTAATAAAATGTTTTTGCTTAAAATTAAAAAAAAAAAAAGAGTGATACTTTAGACATTCCCAATTCCTTTTAGAATAAAATTATCATCAACCGTTTAATTTAATTTATAAGAGATGTATGAAGATTATGTGAATGATTTTATATGAATATCAATTATCAAAGTACATTATTGATATTGTTTCAATAGTGATGTACGTTGTGTTGGTCCTGATCATGCTATTTTCAACTATTTGGTCGAGTGTGTTTGGCAAAGTATAATGATGCACATGTTGCTTTGTACGATATGTCTGATTCTATGTCTATTTCTAGTGCTTACGATCGGCTCTGACATAACTATCTCGATATTTTTTGTATGATTATTTATGGATATTAATATAAAAGATGTTCTTTTATCTTAAAAAAAAACAAGGCCGAGTTTTGATATGGTAAACAGAACTAATGTGTATCCATACCCATTAGAAAAATGATGTTTGTACACACTTTTGTACACACTTTTGTACACACCTATGTCTGTGAAAGCTTTTTTTTTGTCTGTGAACATCGATTCACAGACAATGTTTTCCACAAACAAAATATTGTCTGTGAACCAGATTCACAGACAAAAAAAAAGCTTCACAAACATGGTGTGTACAAGGTGTGTACAAGGGTGTGTACATCAAGAATGGTTGTACCCATTAAAAGGGAGGATTTCGGTTGGGTCCAGAGCCAAACCATTCAGTGCATAACTGGGATTTCGGAATTATGATTGGAGAATCAATTCAATTGGAACCGAATTGAAAAAAGAATAACATTTAATTTCAAAGATAGTATATTCACTTCAATATAATACATGCTTTATTCCCTTTAATGGAAGAACTAGTTATCACTGAAGGAAGACACTACAAACCAGAGAATGCAATGAATAATGGATGCAGTATAACAGTTGCTGCCTAGACTCCCACAACATTGATTGGTGTAAGCACCAAACAAGCCCTTAACACTTGGAACATTGCTTGAGAATGAAATCCTTAACCTGCTGAATCATTTGCAAGGATTCTGGGAGCTGGGGAAAAAGGTAGAAGGCATGAATCATGTTTGGGTACTCCAACAAGTAGGTTTCTTTACCTGACCTCTTCAACCACTCATAGTACCTCCTCTGCCAATCCTGTAGAGGATCAAAGCCGGCCACCACCACCATGGTTGCCGGGAAATCAAGTTTTGATATGTCAACCGCCCTAGGGCCGGACACGTTCACCACCTCGTGGTCCCGATCCACCATCCCTTCCCCCGTCGCCGGTAGAAATGCCTTCCACATCCAGTCGGTAAGATCCACCGATACCAATGGATCAACTTTTACTAATCTTGTTTCGGAGGCAGTCCTGTTTACCCCTCCAAAGAATGGTTGTATCGCCACCAGCCCAATGACCTTATTATTTGAAACAACTTAACTTTTAGAAATAATAATTATAATGGCTGTTTACAAGTGTGACTCTTAAGCGCAATAACTTATGTTTAATTTAACTTGGGCGTAATAATTTGTGTTTAATTTAACTTTAGTCGTAACGTTTTAATTTTTACATATGACAATGCACATTAATATATTTCATTCTTTATTGATAAAAAAAAAAATTATTTCAGTTTTTGAAAATTTGATATGAAAGGAATTTAACAATAGTTTTAAAAATTGAATTTATTATACATAAATAGATAAATTGTAGTCAAAGTAAAGTATGCGAATGATATCAAATTCAATGAGTGTGTTTGGAATTTAGCGGTTAAAGGATAAATGACTATATTAGCGGGTTGTTAATAGCAGATTCAATCAATGAGTCTTACTAGTGGAATATTTGGCGAGTTGCAACAAAGTGTTTGATAATTTAGTTGTTAGCCCTTAACATTTAGTAGATCATGACTTATTTTAGAATGTTAACCCAAAACGTCGTTGTTTGCCGTGTTTTCATTTCAGTTGTTCTGTTCACAAACTCTAAGGCTGAATAGTTATTTACCAAACAACATTTTCACCTATTGAAAACGCTAAAAAGAGACGAATCGCTTTTTTTGGTGAAACATCATTTTTAAACTCCCCCAATATCTTGTAACTTGTAAGGAGGAAATAGTTTGTATTTTGAAAATGCTTGGTGTACACGTTTTTGTGTACACCCACGCACTTTGTTTGTATATACAGAGTTATTTGTATACATACAATCATACAATTTCTCTATTAAATATGAATTATTCTATATACGAATAACTTTGTTTAGGTAGACAAAGGGATAAGGCTCAAATGGGACACTATGATTACATGAGAATCACATATTTGTGTCAAGTACCTTGTGGTCTGATGGCATCCTTGTTGATCTTCAAAAGAGAAAATCACATGTTTGATTCTCATCTCAATCAAGGATGTTGACATTAACTGGATCAGATACTATAATAGGATATGCAATTAGAAGGATATGTAAAAAAATTCTTATATTGGTAACTAAGGTTTCAAATGGACCAAGTAGGACACTATAGTTACATAAGAATCTCATATTAGTCATCGAAGTTTCATATTCATAGTTTTTGGACACTCACGATTCTCTTCTACCTTTAATAAAAAATGTTAGTCTTGTTTTTGCTCTTTTGGTGAAAATAAACTAATTTAATTGATGTATACGATTTTGGAATATTTAATTTGAGGTTGTATAATATATAATTTGATTTTTATTAATAACTTCTTAATAAATACAAAGTATGACTTTTGATATATATCATATGATTTTTATGAAACTTTGAGAAATATCGATTAGTTAAATTGATTTAAAAATATTAAAGAATTCAATTACATAGTACATTATAATAGATTTTCCTAATTGGAACATCTAATTATACTCCTTCCGTCTCCCAATTAAGTTTCCAGTTTGACTTTTACGGTCTTCGAAGTGGACGTTTGACCTAAATATTTTAAAATCTCTACATATAAAATCTAATATAAATTAATATTTAAATAGTACATACTCCAATGAAGTATATAAAATTAACTTTGTATGATAAAGTAACGTAAAATATAAATGATTAACGGTCAAAGTAATAAAGTTTAACCTAAAAAGTGCAACTGAGAACTTAATTGTGGGACATAAAAAGTATATTCTAAATATAAATACACACATTAAATTATTTTTATTTTTAGGTACGTACATAAAACAAAGGATAAAAAAGAATACTTATACTTTCATATGTGAATTTTTTGTTATGGATGTTCAAAAATGATTAGAAAAATGTTAAATTGTTAATATTCAATATGAAATTCATATTGAAAAAATACGGGATGGATTAGAGTTAAATTGGACATTATGTTTACATATGAATTTCATGTAAACATAATGTTTAATTTGAAAAAAAGTGCAAAACGTGTACAGGAAGAGAAGTGTACATCAAAGATTTCCGTTGTGTTCAATTGGAAAGATTTTTCAAATATACGGAACATGTATTTGGTGGACCCTTCCCGAGAGCATTGAGTAGATAGGAAATTTCACCCACCGGGCCACCGAGGATATCACTCCATTGTTTCGAAAGGTGTAATCTCTCACCCCAAGAGCTTCCATCCTCACCGACAGGATGGTGGGGAGGTTACATGTTAGTCACGATAACTCAGTCAGCAGAATGACACTAGGCTCATACGCAAAAGTGAGGATATCAATCGAAATATGTTGTTGAAGTTGCCTTACTAATAAAACAAAAGCGACCCGGACGGGTAGCTCAGTTGGTCGAGTGGTGGGAGATTTAGAACAATGGACCAAAGTTCGAATCCCCGCAGTGACCGGATGGAGGTCACAGAACCTGAAATAAGGCTGGGCTCCTGGTGCGCACGAGTGTATGTGCCTACTGTCATTCTGCTGACTGAGTCACCGTGACTAACTTCCCCACCATCCTGTCGGGTCAGGGTGGGGGACTCCTGAGGTGGAAGATTCCACCTTTTTTTGGAACAACAATAAAACAAAAGCATATTAATGTCCCAACTCGCCGCTTAATTAGGACAAAACCATAAATGTAAGATAAACACTACGTAATATAAGAATTGACCCACTCAATAATGTGAGAAATTAATAGATGCATGGATGCTGCGCTATAGAGGATTCAGGACAGGGCAGCATCAAGAGGCGTCAGAGTGGTCATTTGATCGTTGAAAATTTGGAAGTATATACCACTAACTTTCAAATACTTTTAATTTGATATACACCGTCCCGGTCATTTCTTCTCACTTTCCTTTTTGGGTCGTCCCAATTAATTCTTCCAACTTCCACTTTTGGAAAAAATATGTGGTTCACATTCATTCACATTTTTCTTATACAACAATAACCATACATTTCCACTTTATTCTCACTTTCTAAATTTGCGAGCCAAGTCAAACTTGGAAGAAATGACCGGGACGGATGGAGTATTATCATTCTCCTAACGCATTACGCATTACGAGTAAAGATTTATCATCTCTGAAAAATCATCATTATCTAAATTTATAATGAGTAAAATTTGATTTGTAATATTAATTATATTCTCAAATTTTAAATACTCCCTTCATACCCCTAATATTGGAATGAAAGAGAGTGGTGTGGTTTTTAATAAAAGTATAATTGTGTGGTTGATAATGAGTTGATAAATTGAGAATAAAGTAAGAATGAAATAGAGTCACGCAAATATTACCAAATATCGTATGAGACAATAATAGAGGGACATCCAAAAATAGAAAAAATAGGACAATTATAGGGGGACAGATGGAGTATAATGTACTCACTCCGCCCCTCAATTAACTTCCCCCTTTCCTTTTTGGGTAGTCCCTGAATTAAGTTCCCATTTCCTTATTTGGCAAATTAACTACATCAAAACAGTGTCAAACAATGCAAAACAGTGTCAAACAGTGTCCAAATCGTGTCAAAACAGTAAAGTTTACCCCACATTAATTTTTTCCCCTTAATAAGTGTGAAAAGCAATGGGGAACTTAATTGGAGACGGAGGGAGTATAATTCACTTTTTTACGTATGTGGCATGACTCAGGGATAGGACAAAGACAACTTATCTTACTCCTATGAGTCAAGTATACTCAATAATTAATTCTTTTCTAGTAAGAAATCCTGATATTAAGTGGAACGACGGGAAACTATAGAGTTTCTAGGTAAGGCAAAAGGGTCTCATGCAAGGCATCCATCGGTGTGGAAACCCATTCATTAAACCATATAAAACAAGTTTATAATATATGTAGCATGTGAAATCTATAAGGAGTATCAAATCAATAACTCTATAAATCTCATTTACTACTCCCTATGTTCTTCTAAGATTGTCTTATCTTTCATTTTCAGTTCATCTTACTAAGATTGTCTCATTCCAAATTTCGTAAAGTTTGAATGGGATCCTAAATTATTTCTACTTTATTCTTATTTTATCGATTGAATATTAACCACATAAACTCACTTTTCTTAATAATTATGTGACCTTCCCATGTTCCAATGTTAATGAGATAAGGTATTACCACTTGTCTAAAAACTACATATGCAACATTCAACTCAAGTATTGTATTAAAATGATCTTCCATTTTCATTTCGTATATAATTTAATATCGACCCTCCTGAGTCATTTTTCTGATTTCGCCACCGAAGGTGTTACCGTCTTTCTATCTCCAAAAACAAAATTAGCATTTATGTATTTTACTGTCTTTAGGGGTGGGCATAAAAAACCGTAACCGTATAACCGCGCCTAAAAATCGGAAAATCGTCGTTTTTCCCGGTTAACCGAACCACAAATTTTTAAATCCACGATACGGTTAACCAACCGTGAGAATAAACGGTTCGCGGTACGGTTACGGTTTTAGAAATATGTTATTATCGGTTAACCAATAACCGGTATGTTCATGTCTGGTCATGAACTTCACGTTCTCAGAAAACTTGGAAAGATAAATATGTATCCAACACATTTAGATACATCAATTCTAATAAACATGTGAAGAAACCAAATTCTGTTTGTCACTATAGAACTTTTAATTTCATATTATTAATATCTAGTCAAAGCTTTTGTGAGTTATAATTAATTAGCCCATTCTGTAATCGTGAGACTTGAACATGTGTATTCTTTTTTTGAAGCAATTGAACACGTTTATTCTTATCAAGTGTATTTTATCTTTTCCTGTATTCCACTCTCAAAATTTATTTTTCTCTTGTTTGGACTTAATTAATATATAAAGAATATGGTGTGTGTGTATATTTAATCAATGGTTTGATGGTTTTTGGTTAACCGGTTTGTGGTTAACCGAAGTTTTGGTTAACCGATACTCGGTTAACCGAAGCTTTGGTTAACCGATACTCGATTAACCGAAGTAATATGTTTCTCAGTTAACCGGAAAGTTGGTTAATCAAAACACGGTTAACCAACCACGCCCAGCCCTAAGTGTCTCCCTATCTCTTAATAATAAATATTTCCACATTGTCACACGTTTCTCTTTCAATTACACAACTCTCCACCATACAATTTTTACATTCGTAATACTCGCGCAGAAAGCCAATTTGAAAAACGGTTTAGGGAACCTGCAGATAGTACTCCACGTAGCCAATTTTTACATTCGTAATCCTCGTGTAGAAATCCACGTAGTACTATGTTTCATTTCTCAGGTAAAAGTTAAGGTAGGTCTTAAAAGCCGCTTTAAAAAAAATACGTAGTACTAACTTAAGATGTAGAAAGAAAACATCAAGAACAAAAGTATAAAAAATTCACTAAATATAAGATTCACGTAGTCCTATTATTAAAACAATATAAGTATAAAAAATTCACTAAATTTTGTTATGTTTAATTTCTACTTAAATAATTTTCTCAAATTTTATCTACAATTACACTTTGCACACACCTAATATAAACATATTTTATTTTTATACATACTTGTACATATACACAACGTTGGACACAGTGGGGGCTGATTAGGAGTCATCGCCCCTCCAAAAATTTTTATCTAGGTATATTTACCCCAAAATTTTATTATATACTTAGTACATAATATGTATTTATATTTATTTTTTTACACCGTCGCCCTATCAATCGAAATTTCCCGCGTCCGCCGCTCAAATACATATCTTAAACTAAGTTTAATTTAATTAAACAATAGGGAGTACTACATATTAATAATGTAATTTGATACTTTTGAAATATGTGACTAACTATTAAGGATTAGAAAAAATTCCCCAAAATGAGACTAAAACATGGACTAAATTCCAAAATAGGACATTAAGTTTTTTATTCCCTAAACAGGACTAAAGATTACAATTTTACCCTTCTAATTAAACCCCTATAGATCGAAGCCGACTCCAGATGCAGCAGAACTCCGTCACTCATCCAATCGGCTAGAAAGTTCCCCAACCTGGATCACAACCTTCTTCCTCTCCATAGACCACCAAACTTCTCCCCTGTGACTTTCCCATTGACCGGCCATAGCTTCCCCACCTTCGATCGCAGCTTATGCGCAATTGATCACAATCATCTGCTCATCCAAGTACTCTTCTTTCTCTACTCCTCTCCTCCTTCTCTTCCTCCTCCTCCTTCTTCTTCTTCCTCTTTTCTTTTTTTGTCTTCTCCTTCCCATCCTCTTCAATTTTGAGTCCTCTGTTTTCTTCTTCTTTAGATTTCAATTTATTTATTTATTTATTTGATTTGATAATTTTATGCCATTCTCAGATTCCTGCTTTATAAATAAAATTGAAATCCAAATTAAAGAACAAGATAACGGAGTACCAGAAAATTGAAGAGGATGAGAAGAAGAAGAAGACGACGAGGAGGAGGCCGAGGAGGAAGAGGAAGAAGGAGAAGAAGGGGAAGAATACATACCTGGCTTGGCTGGAGAAATTGCAGCAGAGCTATGACGGTGCCGGTAGATGGTGAAGCTGTGGCAGCCATGGTAGAGGAAGGTATCACAGTCGAAGGATGACCGGGAGAATAGCGACGATATATTGCAGAGAGTAGAGAATGAAAGGCGCACAACAGGGCTAGGTTAATGGGTAAGGGTAAAATGGTAATCTTTAGTCAGGGAATCTAAAATAATACTTTCTCTATGCTTAAATAAGTGCAACAGTCAACATTTCACACTTGCGAAGATACAGTTTTGACCATTAATATATATAATTCTCTATTAGTAAAAAATTTAAAAAATTAGTTTTTGAAAATTTACAATGAGACAAATTTAATAATATATTTTTCAAAAAAATATATTAATACATCAATAAATAAAATGTAGTCAAAGTAGAACATGTAAATAGTGTAAAATTTCACATGTTGCACTTATTTAAGAAATGAGATAGTATGTGTTATTTAGGGAGTATTGTGTAAGTTCGCCCCATGCACTCACTTAATTTTCTATTTGAATTATCGCTGTATATAGCTAATTACCTTAAGCTCTCGGAAACTGGCCTCCGATGCACGTTTAGCCACGTTGTGAGCCAGATTGGCTCCCGCACTATCTCCGGCGAGGAAGCAGCGGGAAACGTCAGCATTTCCCGGCAAAATCCCCTTGCTCTGTTCTTCATCGAGGAATTTCAGCACATCGAATCCATCATCGTACTGAGCAGGATATCGGTGCTCAGGTGCAAGCCGATAGTTAACAGAAACGACCACAGCCATGACCTTGCGAGCGATTCGGCGGCAAACAGCATTGTACTCCTTGGTATCGGCGCTGAGGAACGCAAAACCGCCGCCGTGGAAGAAGACGATCACCGGTAGGGAATCGGAATCCTGGGCATCGGTCGAGGTGGGGACAAATAGGCGGAACCAGAGGTCACGGGCAGGGTCCACGGTGACGTCCGAGGACTTGACGCTGTTGACGGAGTTTCGGGTGGGAGGAGACTTGAAGATGAATATGTTCAGAAGACGGCGATTAACGGTCCCATTTCGTCGCCGAGAGACGTAGATAATGCTGAGAAAGCTGAAATATACAAGCGGATCCACCAAGGAACGGACGCCTTATGCAATACCTGAGGAGGAGTTTGAATATCCTTCTTTACTTCCATTTTCTTCCCTTTTTAGTTTAAAGTAGGAAAATTCAGCCCACAACAAACCAATACGGAGAGTACGTAGTTGGACTTGGTATGAGGAGTTATTGGTATGAGTTTTTCTTTAAATATGATCAGTCTCGAATTTATATCCAAAAAATGATTACTTAATGTGAATAAAATTAGGTGACATCTACCGTACTTAGGTTGTTTTTACTTAATTCGTCTGGACAAGATCAGACTAGATCAGACCAGACTAGATCAGATCAGATCAAAATAGACCAGACCAGATCAGACCATATAAAAACAGACCAGACCAGACCAGATTAAAGCTGAGCAGACCAGACCATATTTTATTATTATTATTATTATTATCATCATTATCATCATCATCATCATCATCATCATCGTCGTCCTCATCATCATCATCATCATCATTGTTATTGTTATCATTATTAGTATTATTAGTATTATTACTAATATTACTATTATTAGTATTATTGTTTTTAATTATAAATGAATAAAATATAATTATTTATGGATTATAATATACATAAAAAATAAAATCTTTATGCAAAAAATATAAAAGATAAAATTTCAGACCACACCAGACCAGATCATATTTTATTATTATTATTATTATTATTATTATTATTACTATTATCATCATCGTCGTCGTCATCATCACCATCATCATCATCATCATCATCATCATTGTTATTGTTAGTATTATTAGTATTATCAGTCTTATTACTTTTATTACTATTATTATTTTTAATTATAAATGAATAAAATATAGTTATTTATGGATTATAATATATATAAAAAACATCTTTATGCAAAAAATATAAAAAATGAAATTTCAGACCAGACCAGACCATACCAGACTAAAACAGACCAGACCGGTCCAGACCAGCAAATTACAGTCCAAGTAAAAACATCCTTAATCCGAGGCATTAAATCATTTTTAATTTTCATTTAAATAATTCAACAACAATATTTTGATTGGTCCATGTGAACAAATGTATCATCAAATTTTAAAAAAGATAAGGTTTTTAAAAAAGATAATGCCATCCACAATTTTTATCTCTTTATCTCACAAAGAGCTAAATGAAATGTGCAGTGTGAATATCAAAAAATTCTCCAACGATTTTTCCCGATGATTTTTCAAAAATCCGTAAAAAAACATAAAAAATGTTTCAATAACTTTCTGGTCGGTGGTTTCCGCCGATTTCTGGTCATCGTCTTCAGTGGCGACTAGGCGGTTGTGGGGACGGGTGAGGGCAGATTGAGGTCGAATATAATTTATAGGAGTGTGATGGGTCTGGACTCTGGGTTGGGATGGATTTTGGCTCTACCCAAAAATTATCCGGGAGTTTCCGAGTTATGAAAAATGAGATCAGAAAAAGGCCCAACTTTTTTTGTCTGAGCTCGGGTTCGGTCCGGATTCGAGTAGGGTCAGTTAAAGCTCAATAGAATATTATCATTGTTTTTTATTGAAAAAATTGTTTTCAAAATTATTTTTGATAACCAATTAGATTGATTCAACTTCTTTACATTCTATTATAGTAAAAGTGACCCGACGATTTGCATCTCTCAGTGTAGCAAATTTGCTGTGAAGAAATTAAACTGCAAATTTGCTACATTGAGAGATGCAAATCATCGGGTCACTTGAAACGGCAGACTTAGAGCAACTGTAATGCTATCATGTCTAATGAAGGTAAAGTGTGACATGTCATCAATTGATACACTAAATGCTAAATTTCTTTCCAATGCACGTAGTCTTGTGATGATTGGAAAATGCTTAGTGTACATGAGTTGTACACAAACTTTACACAAAACCCCCATAGTTGCCTGTGTACACAGACAATTCATTTAGAAAAGGGCAGAATTTGATACCCAATTGCCTGTGTACACAGACAATGTACACATTTTGTGTACATCTTATGTACATCAAACATGGTCCGTGATGATTTGCCAAAAAAATGTTGAACGGTGTGAAGATAATAGTGTGAGTGTAGAAAGTCTCTTACACTTGCTGAGTTGCTGATCTAGACAATTTAAACCATAAAAATCCATTCCGCCTCTATTAAATTCTTCCTTCCCCTACTACTCTTCCAATAACCACCACAACAATGGCCGATCAAGAATCAATACTCAGTGCCTCCGCCTCTGCCATATCATATCAATTGCTCAAAAAAATTAAGCTTGACCATCATATAAACGGTGCCGCTCTTGGATATCCATTTTTTTGTTCAAGAAAATCTCGTAAAACGTCGTTTTTCCCTCCAAAGGCTCACCCTCTTCGCCCGCTACAACCTCGATCTCATATTCTGCGGGTATAGGTTTCTGTCAAGGGCAAGACTTTGATTCCCACTGATCTATGCTCGTATAACACCCCTATCTTGATTGGCCAGCGCCCATTAACCCCATGTTGGGTTCGCCGCTGCCTTTAGCACACCTTGTTTGTATGTACAGAGTTATTTGTATACATACAATTTCTCTATTTAAATAGGAATTTTTCGATATACAATTAACTCTATTTATGGAGACAAATAAAGTGTGCAAAGATGTACAAGAAAGGTGTACATAAAAGATTGGAGTTGTATTTTATTGGAAAGTCTTTTCAATATACGGAACATGTGTATGGATATAAGTCATAACAAAGTTTGAAATATATTGTTGAACTTGGCAACTTGCATTATGACTAATGAAACTCGTAAATAGTTTGTACGGAGTGTTTTATGGGAAAGCTTTTCAAATACTGAAATACTTCGTACCACGTACTCCCTCCGGTCCCAAAACAACGGTTTACGATGCTTGACTTATGATAAAGTAACTTGATCCCTGTTCACGTTCGAATTATTTTTAGTAAATAAAATTTACATATTCAGAAACTACATTAAAACCGCTACAAAGTCTGATCAAGAAAGTTTAAATTTGATAAAAAATTGATATATAAAGTAAAAAATTAAGAGTGATTTAAGTGGACCAATATATAACATGTGGGAATTCTATCTCGATCGGCCTCTATCTTCCCCGACAGCTTTGACGACATGGGAAATTTCAGCAGCTCAGGATATCAGTCATAACAGTCGAAATACATTGTTGAACTTGCATTACCCACCAATAAAACAAAAGCATATTAATGTCCCAACTCGCCACTTTATGAGCACAAAACCATAAATGTACGATGAACACTAAGAACAGACCACTTAATAATGTGAGAAATTAATAGATTGAAGGATGCTGCGCTATACATAGAGTATTCAGTCCGGTGCGCGGTGATCAAGGGTGGAACCAAGACGGGTCAGTTTGATGAAATTAATAGATGGAAGGATGCTGCGCTATTTTGATAGAAGTTTTTTTGACCGAGGAGGTAGTCAAATGATTTCTTGAAGATAACTGCGAAGTTAAACAGCGCAATACATTTCGGAAAATCATTTCACTGTCTTCCTGGTTGAATTTTTAGCTGAAATTTGATATGAGTAAACTAGATTTAATGATGAAGATGCTCAAAAAACTTCATCAAAAAAATCCACCGGGAATCGCCCCAATTAGCGACGGCCGGACAGAACCTCCTATTAAGGGGCTAATTGCACACTTTAAGTCAGTTCAAGGGCCTATTTGACCCTTTAGCCGCCCTAGAAATATCCCGATCTGACTAGAACTCCCTCCATGCTCGAGGTCTTCTGTTCAGCCTGACCTGGTTGTGGGTTCCTCTCGTGGATCCGGTTTCTAATTAGGCCCAACGACTAATTAATATTAATCCCGTTCACGGGCTGATCCCGTTAAGGGCTAATCTCGTTTGTGGGCTAATCCTGCTGAGGACTTGATCTGTAATTCCGTAATTGGGCCATGGGCCAGGGTGCACCATCATATATCAACATTTGCAATTCCAAAATGAAAATTTGGCACACCTATGTTTTAAAATTTTGTTTTTAAAAGAATGCAACAGTACGTTTGTCACAAAATTGTTGTTACTACATAATACTTTACTTATCATTACTCAACTTGTCAAAAAATCAACATTACTGAAAGAGAAGAAAAACTATTGTACTTTAATGTAATGTTCATTATAATTATAAGAGAGAGTTCCCAAAATATGAGTGAATGTGTTAAGTTTGTACAATGATTTAATTTTGATTAGTACAATTTCATGGAAGTTAAATAATTATAATTTTATGAAAATATTTTTAATAGATAACATTTTCATATTATAATAATTTTGTATAAAAAATATTATTTGTCAAAATTTAACACGGTAGATCAAAATTTTCAATACTACTCCCTCCGTCCCATAAAATTCTTCCCACTTTCCTTTTTAGGTCGTCCCAAAAAAATCTTCCCACTTACTATTTTTGGACAATTTATGTGGTTCACATTTATTTCACTTTTTTCTTACACAACCACAACCATACATTTCCATTTTATTACAATTTCTTAATCTCCGTGCCAAGTCAAAGTGGGAAGAATTTAAAGGGACGTATTTAATTATAAAAGAATCATGTCACCAAAGTAATACGGAGTAATATAGATAGTATATACCACCGCTATCATTACTCACATTTTCAATACTAATAAAGTTTGAAGGGACTTACGAAGTATTTAATTACAAAAGAATATAATTTGTGATTCACACCATGTTTACCACATTGTTAAACTCATCTCTCTCGAAAATATTCGCCAAATTAACTTTTCTTGGTTAATGACAGTCAACTTTGTTCAATGGTATTTTTTAATATGAAATTACTTTGGATATGGAAATTAAATCAAAATCTTTCTTATTCAAAGTATTTTCGTAAAAATATAAAATTTATAAATTATATACAAATATAAGAATTGATATCATTTTCCAAAATTTGACATAATGACCAAGAAACGTCAATATAGCGAACCTTTTCAGAACGGAGGTAGTACGTTTCTTATCTGCACAAATCTTCATCATACAATTTGAAAGATGATGAAAGCAATGGTAGGTCTTAAAATCCGCCTAAGAGAAAATTACTAATCTAAGATGTAGAAAGAAAACATCATCAAGAACAACTTAATTTGACCTTGCAACTGTTTAATTAGGTGTTCAAAATCAATCATAAAAGTACGTACATACAGGATGTCATTAGAATGAACTAAGTGCCATTATTACCCGTATATATAGTAATGAACAAAAAATCAAATATGATTATTTTCTCGGTTGAATTTTAAGCTGAATTTGGTATATGGGTAAACTAGACTTAATTAAGAAGATGCTAAAAAAATTCATCAAAAAATTTCATCGAGAACCTCCTCAAACGACGACGGCTGGACAGAGCCTCAAATAAAAGAGGTGATTTGCACTTTTCGGTTAGTTCAAGAGCTTATTTGCACCTTTTCCCTAATACCTTTTTTGCAAACTATGATACCTTACTTGATACCTTTTTTGCAAACTAGGCTCTATTTTAATGATTTGCCAATAATCTTATGATTTGTGTGTCGGCATATTTTGCAAACACTGGTTAGTCTTGTTGCAAGTTGCAACTTAATTACAACCATCTAAAATGCAAATCAATATATATATATATATATATAAGAGAAATTTTTAAGAGCATACAAAGCGTCACATGATCCTGCCATGTCATTATATATAACAATTATTTACTTATTTTTATACTTTTTGTTTTTATTAGATTCTATTTTTGATTGCATATTGATATGGAAACAAAAATCCTTATAAATCCACCTTAATTAATTTTAAATCCGTTCTTGGACTTAGATATACCTTCTAACCCTTCATTCTGCACTTCTAAACATGTAGAACAATCCTAGGGATCCTCCGTATGATATATATGTTATGTGAGATTTTATGGAAGAAAGAAAAGCCATGATAAGGTCCTTACGTTCTTTTCTCAAGCGTTCTTCCTAAATCCTCTCACTAAGCTTCCTTCTTGAACTTCTTCTTTGCTTCAGCTTGCTTCAACAATGGAGAATACGGATTGAGAGTCTCTCTTTCCATTGATAGCTTTTGTTGGCCGAAATAATAGGGTGGTAGGGAGTGAGGAGACTTCCTCCTTGTCTCTCTTGCTGAATGAGTATGGCAGGGAGGTCTACCGCCCTTATTTAATTCCATTTCCCTCAAATCAGCCCCCAAGTTCAACTCACCTTATTGCAGCCACAACATGGTTGGTTTGGACACCTAAATTTGTTGGGTGTCCCCCACTCATGTGGGAGGTCACCCCTTTATGCCCCAAAGTGTATTCTTAGTCCAGAAAAGTTGTATTTCTCGAACTGTTTTAATTATATTTCATTTTATCGCTCCAAATAAAATATATACCGTTCTCCCCATTATTATGGGCTTCTAGAATAAATATACATTTCCCAACTTAATTTTGTAGTCCCCGTAATTTATTACGGGATGTTAACTGCCGAATTACCAATACCGGTGTGTCGGTCTCGTTTGATCAACCGGCCAACTCTATGTCATTTCTATGGCCCAACATGAATATACACCATCATATATATATATTATCTAGACCATCCAATATGAATATAATATGTGGTCCCATCAATATTGTGTGGTTCTCACTCCCGATGTGGGCCCCACGTGCATTTTACTAAACACGTGAAATAAATAACAAAAAATTACAACCTCCTAAATTAAATAACCATTTCTCTGGGTTCAATACATAATTTAGTAAAAAGTAAATATACTTGGGGACGATATTACAATAAACATATTCCGTCAGTCGTCATTGACCAAAATTTTGTCCACATTTTCTTCCACCCAATTGCGAGAACCTTTGTCTCAGTCCCACGTCCAGTAGTATTCTGAGAACGGAAAGTCACGAAGTCCACTGCACAAAACCACTTCCTGGAACCGACGAAGTCTCCATGTCGGGTGGGGAGTTATGTCCTTCTTCTCCCACTCATAAAGAATGTTGTTAAAGTCGCCTAAAATCATCCATGGTTGAGTATTACCTTCTTACAAGCTTTGTAACAAAGCCTAAGCCTCCCTCCTCCGTCTGGTTTCCAGAAACCCGTAGAAGCTCGTTAGCCGTCAAGATGGATCCCTCGTCGATAGTTTCACCGAACAATCAATAAAACTTGTTTCACCACGGGTAGTGTCTATTTCCGTCTCATTGTTCCACCCCATCAACAAACCGCTACTCTGCCCTTTATTGTCGATGTTGTAACTTTTGGGTACCCCTGCAAACGGAGGATGCCCTTCACCCATTGACATTGTAGCTTCGTCTCCAGATGATCGGAATCACTGGCAGAAACAACATGCTCGGGATGATACCCTAGAAATGACTGTCGTTTCTTAATAATAGGTGGATGATTAATAGATTAGTGTCCAATTTTTCGGGTTCAAGTTTTGAAAATTTTAAGAGAAACCAGCTTATAATTCCCGGAAGATTGTGTCTAGAAATATCTAACAAGGATTTGCTTCCAGCTTCTAGCCATCATAAAGAATAAATTTCTGACAGAATGTCCTTAAATGGGGATATTCATGATCTGACCAAAATATTTCCAAATTGCCTGGGAATAAGAACATCTGATAAAAACATGATTAGTAGTATCACCATTACCTGTACATATGGGGCACATAGAAGGTTGGACCACTCTTTGAAATCTAGTGAGCTTGTCAGATATAGGAAGTATCCCTTTAATGAGCTTCCATTGAAATAAACTAACCATTAATTGTTGTTCAGGATGCCAGATATTTTTATATGAAAACGCAGACCCAAACTTTGTCTAATGGAATTATAAGTAGTTTTGAGTTAGAACGGACCATCTTTTGATCGTTTCTAGGTAAGCTACTGGGAAGAATACTCAACCAAAGGTGTTGCAGCCTCATTAATGGAGCACAATCTCCTCCAGATTGGTGAGTCAGTAAGTCTAGGCTTCATGTCATCTCCTCTTGGGTATTTGGATTGTATAAATATGGACCAAAAACGTGAGGAAGCTTTCCATTTCCATCAAAGCTTTAAGGAAAAAGCTTTCTCAATGTCACTTAAGGAACGCATGTCCAATTCCCCTTCCTCTTTAGGATAGCACAGATTAGACCAACTTATCATGTGATATTTTGGTCTATTATTAGAAGTACCCCAATAAAAATTGGCAAGTTTCTTATTTAAGATGGTCTTAATCCTTTGTGGTAGGCAATCAACAGCTAAAAGATGCATAAGAATAGAGCCAAGAGCATGCTTTATCAAGATAAGTCTCCCTCCTTGTGTTAAGTTTTTTTGTTTCCAAGTAGACAATTTGGAATCAAATTGTTTAATGATATGGCCACAATATTGATATCTGTTGATTCCTTTACGTAGATTTGCTCCCAAGTATTTCAGAGGCAAAGAGCTTTTCTGCATTCCCAACAAATCTTTGATAATATGGCTTCTGAAATTAGCTTGTTTACCACAAAACGAAAGAGCTTTTTTCAAAGTTCACTGCTTGTCCAGAAGAATTCTGATATAAGGTAAGAAATCTCTTGAAATTATGTATTGATCTGGACCCACCATTAATAAAGATGAGTAAATCATCAGCAAAAGCTAAATGGGAAATAGGGAGACCAAATTTGCCCAACCAGCAGGGTTGAATGAAGCCATTATAAACCTGCCATTTAAGGATGTTTTTACTTGGACTGTAATTCCTCCCAGACCAGACCAGACCAGACCAGACCAGACTTGGATAGTTATAAAAATACAAAGAAATCAGACCAGACCAGACCAGATCAGACCAGACCAGACCAGACCAAACCAGCAAATTACGGTCCAAGTAAAAACATCCTAAGTCCTCAGAGGCCAGAATAAAGAGGAAAGGGGAAAGGGGATCCCCTTGTTTAACCCCTCTCAATGGTTTGAAGAAGCCATGAGGGCTGCCATTAATAAGAATAGAGAGAAATGTGGCCTGAGGATTGTTAAGAACAAGTTGAATAAAGTGCACAGCAAACCCAAATTTCGGTAACACCTTTGTAAGCAAACTCCATGATAGCCTATCAAAGGTTTTAGCCATATCAAGTTTAATCACCAAGTTGGACCCCGTAACCTTCCTGTCAATAGCAGGATCATTTCTTTCCCAATAAGGATTTGATCTGCCATATCTTTACCTTTCAAGAATCCAGCTTGCTCATCAGAAATCAATTTGGGAAGAAGAATAGGCAATCTGTTTGCAAGAACTTTGGTACAAACTTTATTAACAAAGTTAGAAAGACTGATAGGCCTAAAATCAGCAAAAGAATCAGGGTTTTCTTTCTTAGGAATGAGCACTATAAGAGAGTTGGACAAGCCCTTAGGTATAGGAACCCCTAAGAAAAAAATCTTAAACTGCACTAATAACATCTTCCCCCACAATATGCCAACATTTTTAAAAAATTTCCCATTAAAACCATCCGGTCCTGCTGCTCAATTTGAATTTAGACCCCAGACAGCCTGTTTAACCTCTTCTGACCCTGGAAGAGCAATTAGGGGGTAATTATTTGCCTCATCTAATAATGAAGGGATGTATTGCAGGATTTCCTCAGGATTTGATCCTTGTTCATGAGAGTAAAGATTAGAGAAATAATGAACAACTACCTCCCCTATCTCATGTAAAGTGTTGACTGCAACTCCTTCAGTGTTTTTAATAGAGGAGATTTGTTGTTTTTTATTTCTAATCTTTACATAAAAGTGAAAAAATTGAGTGTTGGAGTCACCCTCTTTAAGCCAGGTAAGATGAGCCTTTTGCTTCCAGATCTTCATTTCCAGCTTGTATTTGGACATGAATAAAACCCTTTTGAGAGACCAGTCTGCCCTATTAGAATCTGATGCATTATCTTCAAATTTAATTTCAGCATCTTGAACTTCTTGCTCACAAATTTTGATATCATCAAAAATATTCCCAAATATCTCAGTATTCCATTTGTAACACCACCCCCAAGTAATTGTACTTTATCAAATTATGTATTGAACCCCGAGAAATGAATAAACACATTTTACGTGATTGTAAATTTTTATCATTTCTTTTACGTGAATAGTAAAATTCACGTGGGGCCCACACCGGAAGTGGGGGCCGTCCGATGTTATCGAGACCAAATATTATATTAATCTTGGCCGAGATAATATGTATATGGTGTTGCATATCCTAATTGGGCAATGGCAATGGCATAGGGTTGACCGGTTGGTCAAACGGGGCCAAATTATCAGTATCACCAATTTATCAGATAACAGTCCGAAAAGGGATTTCGGAGACTTCTAAATTAATGTTGAGGAATACACACTCCTTCTAAGGTCCAATAAGGATTGGGAACAAGTGTTATATTTTATTTGACCCGATAGAATAAAATAGAATTAAAACAGTCCGGAAAATACAACTTTCGGGACCGATTGTACACTCGAGTACACAAAGGGTTGACCTCCCACATAAGTGGGGTCCAACCCACGTTTTTAGTCCTGCAAATGGAAAGAGGATCCGCACAAGAGCAAGGGGAAACAAGAAGGAAATTGATTGGGAGACCAATCAATATGAGGGTGGGTCATTGGCCAAAATATTATTGTGAGAAATGCCAAAAAGGCATTCTCAATTACCCCAACTCATATAGCTCCGCCAACCTACTCAAAGAAGAGAGATAAGGTCTGCAAAACTCCATTTTTACCATCCATACACGCATCAAGAACAAGGGAGGAAGAAGGAAGGAAAAAGAGAAGAGAAAAGGGGGAGTTAGGGAGGAAAACTTGAGATTTACAAGGTAATGACTCCATTAATCTCATTTCTTGTTATTCAATCATTTTATATGATTATCTAGTCATATTTCACACCCTAGGATTGTTCTACACGTTTGGAAGTGTAGAATGAGGGGTTGGAAGGTAGTTCTAAGTCCAAGAATGGACTTAGAAGTCAAAGTGACCGGTTCGCTGGAAAATAACCTTTTGGGGGTTATTCGTATTAATATGGGTTTTATGATGATAAAACCTTGTTAGTAACTTGTCTAAGGTAATCAAGGAACTTTCACGTAGTCGAAAGGGGCGCCGAAATTGTCTCCGGAGTTCGTTGAAGTTCGCCGGAGTTTCACCGGAGCTCAATAAGGAAGGCTAGAACTTCATAAGCTTCATTTAAGGTGAGAAGACAGCTTTATGCTTTATAACTTTGCGTGAGGCATGAGATTACCTAAATTAATCAAGAATATTTTTTATGGATTGATTAATGTTATTAAAGTATGTGTTATGCTATGTTAAAGAATATAACATAGTTAGAAAGCATGATTTATAGGTTTGATTGGTGAGATTACCATAAATTGATATGTATGATGTTCCAAGGACCCAAACAGGTATTTTTGGATTAAGGACGTCAAATAGTACTTGCATGTAAAATTTCACGTTAATCGGACTCCGTTCGGGCGGTCAAACGGGTGTTGACTGCCAAGTCAACTGCTATACCCGACCGGGTATTTGCTGAAAATCTGCCCCAGGGCTGCTGTCTTCTATACCCGATCGAGTATGGGTAGGTACTCCGTACTCGATCGAGTATACACCAAAAATTGGCCTTACGGACTACTGTCCCCTATACTCGATCGAGTATAGGTGGGTACTCGATCAAGTATTGAGTTATGCTCAAAACGGGCAGTTTTGAGTAGGTTAACGTGGGTCGTTCAGATGGGACCCGCCCACGTTGGTTACTAAGGATTGTTATATGACTATAGGGCTAGGTATTGTTCATAGTTAAAGGAATGAAAGGTTAGCCATATTGGGGTTGAGTATCCCCGGGACGGTAAATGATCCTGAAACTCGGTTGGGGTTGAGTATCCCCGGGACGGTAAATGATCCTGAAACTCGGTTGGGGTTGAGTATCCCCGGGACGGTAAATGATCCTGAAACTCGGTTGGGGTTGAGTATCCCCAGGACGGTAAATGATCCTGAAACTCGGTTGGGGTTGAGTATCCCCGGGATGCTAAATGCTCCCAAAACTCGATAGGATATTATGAATGTAGAATGTAGCTTGTGAGCTAGGCATTCGGGAAAGGAGTGAGAAAAGTCAGGTAAGAACTTTAACACTAAAACACTTTTAAGGAAACGGACCCCACGGGTTGAGTATTTTTCAAATATATATAGTATGTATCATCGGGCGGATGAGTGACAGTTACATATATGTATCACCCTATTTTTGGGTCTCGTGTCTGAAACATTAGTTATTCTTCATATAGTCTGCTTGTCACTAGTACTTCTATGGAGTACTAACCCCTTCGGGGGCCATCACATTTTTCAGGTTAAGGCTAGAGTCCTACTACCTGCACCTTTGCCTAGGGTGATTGATCAAGAATAAAGACGTGGTTCGTGCTTCCATTCTTATTTCAAATTTATAAACTGCTCATGAATTTTCGAACAATGTTTTCTTTAAAACAGTTGGGGGCCTGCGTGCCCGTGTTTGCCACATGTTTGCCACAGTTGGGGGTTACTGATTTTCGCCATTTTCTCCCAGTAACTTTGTTTTCCTGATTTGGCCATCCTGTGAGAATTGGAGCCTTCGGCCAGGGGGCCGAAGGCACCCCTAGTGCGCCACGTGGGTTGCTTAGTACTTGGGGCGCCGTGATCTGGGCTTGCTGTGCTTCCTGGGCCTATTGGACCCCCATTAGAATAGTAGGAGTCTATGGGCCGGGGGTTCCTGGGTCATATACTCCATCACTAAGTATCAAACATATTATTCTTTCCGCATTTGTTTGATTATGATATTGATCTTGATTGTATGTGTTTACTAATCGGTTTTGCAATAGAATCAATCGGACGCCTTGTACAATTCAATAGGGATGAACTGTTGTTCTTATCGGGTTGTACGACGGTTGTCTACGTGGCCCGGATGCAGTCTGGGGCGTGATAATTAAGTGGTATAAGAGCCATCGATTTCTAAACTATATGATTAACCTCTCAATAGTCTTATCAAAAAAAAAGTTTTGAACAAAACCATGAGCAAAAGTGTTTGTACTTAAGGAACCGTTGGAAACCAAGTTATTGACCTCTTATTGTTGAGACGGTAGTCTTAAGAGTTTGTTGGCCATAATGTTGGACCAAGTGGTGTCTTTTGTACCTTTCCGTCAATCGACATTGAAACGAGTCTAACGGCTCATTCCTGATTTTCTTTCAGAAATGGAGGGTGGACGCAGGATTACTAGGAGGAACCCGACGGGTCGTGCATCGGGGGCCACCGGGCACGATACACGGGCTGAATCACGGACCTCTAGGGGTAGAGGTCGGGGCCAAGGCCGAGGAGGAGGCCGAGGCAGGGGTCGTGGGCGTTCTACAACGCCGACGGCAAGTAGCACGCGTGTCGGTTCTGTGCACCCATCCAGGGCCACCGAATCGAACGACTTCACCTATGCTCCAAGCACGGAGCAAGAGGAGACCCCGTACAACGGGGAGGACTTTGAGGAAGAAGATGAGGATAATGATCCTCATTGTGACCGTATGAGTGAGGTACTAGAATGGTACCTCGAGAAAAAGGCAAAGAGAAAACAACGACGGCAAGCTAGACAGGCTAGGCAGGCCATGGGACAGGGAAGTTGGGGAGCTTCTAGCGCTCCATCTGGAGTGTTTGGAGGAGACACAATGGTACGTATCTCCAAGTACCTCAAGGAGGCTAGGGCTTTGGGGTGAAAATCGTTTGATGGAAAGGGCGACATATCTGAGGCCGCCGACTGGATTAAGAAGCTGAATGATGCTTCTAGGGATATGCAAATTGGGTTCGACGTGAAGTTGAGGGTCACCACCAGGCTACTGGATGGGGTAGCTGTTGTATGGTGGGAAGGAGTAGAAGGAAAGTTCCATGGTGAGGCCACTTGGGAGAAATTCGAAGTGAAGTTCTATAATCAGTACTACTCAACTTTTGAAGTCAATCTCAAGAGGAGAGAGTACACAAATCTGAGACAGGAGGATGGTTGCTTGGTGAGGCAATTGGAGCAGAGATTCCGAGACTTGGCACGATTCATACCAGAGTACTCTTTGGATGAGAATCGAATGACCAATCATTTTTGGGATGCTCTACAGTTGGATATCCGCGACCGGGCTACTTATCAGCATTACATGACATTTAGTCAAGTGGTCGATCAAGGACTCCTTGGGGAAATCCAATGGAATGAAAGGAAGGTGAGAGACGCCGAGGAGGCGAAGAAGAGGAGATGGGGAAACTCTGGACCCCAAGACCACTCTCGGAAGCATCACGCCGGGGGTGGCAATACATTCAAGGCGCCGACACCACCAACGAAAAGGTATAAGGGCTCAGGAGGGCAAGGGCCCAAACCAGGGGGTGTGGGGCCACCAAGGTGCGCAAACTGTGGTAAGAACCACGGGGGGAGTTGTAATGAACCATCCTGGTGCTTCAAATGCGGTAGCACGAGGTTCGTGCTTCCATTCTTATTTCAAATTTATAAACTGCTCATGAATTTTCGAACAATGTTTTCTTTAAAACAGTTGGGGGCCTGCGTGCCCGTGTTTGACACGTGTGGCTAAGTATCAAACATATCATTCTTTCCACATTTATTTGATTATGATATTGATGTTGATTGTATGTGTTTATTAATCGGTTTGGCAATAGAATCAATCAGACGCCTTGTACAATTCAATAGGGATGAACTGTTGTTGTTCTTATCGGGTTGTACGACGGTTGTCTACGTGACCCGGATGCGGTATGGGGCGTGACACCATTTTTTAAGATCATGCTTCAAACATTTCAGTTTACTCACAAGATCCAACATCCCTCTACAAAAATTACGAGTCTGCCAACTTTTTTAAACCATGCTGAGAAAAGATGGGTGTGCAGTCCACATATTTAGAAATTTAAAGGGTTTAGGTCCACTGCAGCCCTTATTAGATAATTGTAGAAGAATTGGAGAGTGATGAGATGGAGTTTTGTTAAGATGTGTGATCCGAATGTGATCAAAAACCTCAGTGGTCTGATTGTTGAACAAAACTCTATCTAATCTTCTCCAGAGTCTACCATTAGATCTAATACCGGGTCAAGTATATTTAGTACCGCTAAATGGCAAATCAATAAGATCACGGAAGGAAATGCAGTTAACAAATTCAATCATACTAACATATGGGGTAAAGATTGTCCAAAGTGTTCAGAGTGAGAAGCAATAGCGTTGAAATCTCCTCCCACCAACCAAGCTTCATTAATCAGATTAGAAAGATCCTTCAATTTTTGCCATAGAATTCTCCTTTGAATGTAACTATGATTACCATAAATAGCAGTGAAAAAACCAGAGTAAGAATGAGAGCTAATCTTGAAATGAGTGAAGTGGGGGTGCCATTCAATCTGAGAAATATTGAGATTAGAGTCATCCCAATATATCCAAATTTTATTTCTCTGAAAATAGAGCCTTATCGAAACTCAGTGGTGGGAAATTTGGACCAAGTGACCAAGTTTCGAAACCCGCAGCGGCCGTGTGGAGGTCACAGAACCTGAAATAAGGCTGGACCTCTGGTGCGCACGGGAAAAAGGCCTACCATCACTGGGCCGACTGAGTCACCGTGATTAACATCCTCCCAAAAATCCTGTCGGGTCGGGGTACGGGGGGCTCCTGGGGTGGGAGATTCCACCTTTTTGGACCAAGAGCCTTATCGAAACCCAACTGCCTCATGTACTGTTTTGCTTTATTAGTAGCCCCTATAGGTTCAATAAAAACAAGTAAATGAATATGCCATTGGTGAATAAGAGAGAATAATCTAGAAGCAGCACCTTCTAACTTTTTTATTTCGAGAAGAGCATTCTCCTGTAAGTGCTAACTTTTTAGCAGTATTTCTTGTAATACGTGTGGACACTTCAGGGATGATTTTTTTGTTCTTATATCCTTTTTGTCTGACCATTATGAATCCAGTGTCATCCTCAACAGGATTCTTGGAATTGGCAGACTGATTAGCCTCATGTTTATCATTTTGTTTGACAACAAATTCGACACCTTTTATGATTTCTGGAAGGGCATCTTTCCAGGTTTGAAGATCTTCTCTTTGATTTGGGATACCACCATCTGATGAGTAGTCTTATGCTGCAATTTCAGGATCATATTCCATCTCATGATGCAGAGTTTGCAGAACAGAGTCATCAATCAAAGGCCCTACTGTCTTGAGGTTATTGGTTCCAGCAAGATCCAATGACAGTTCACTGTCAGCCCCCTCTAATTGCTTCTTATTTTGTTTAATAGGTCCAGGTTCTGGATCATTGTAAACCTCTTCTGTGTCAGAATCATCTTGAATGTCTACCAGCTCAGGGTTCTTACTACTGGATTCAAGATTCCCTTGCTTGGATGTAGAAAGAGCAGATTCCTTCAGATTGTCCCCAGGAGTGGTTTCTCCATTAGTGATTTTGTAATATATGTGACTGCCTAGGAATCCACTTTTTTTTTGCTTTTGTAGTAGTTTTATCCCTTTTATCTTGATCCTCCCTAATTTGTAATTATTGAGGCTGAGTATGTGCTATCTGGTTCATAGTTCGTTTGGGACATTTAGGAGCAGAATGTCCCAAGTGTAAAAATGACTCGCAATACTCAAGTTTGTCCTCACATATGACATGTTTGAGTAAATTCTGAGGACCCACACAGTATCCAAATTTTCTGAGGGTTGTCAAGAGTTAGGTCAAGTTCCACACATGCCCTAGCAATGGAAGGTCGAGATAGACTGGCGGTGGCTGAGTTTATCTTGAGAGGCTTCCCAATTAATCCTGTTATATCAAGCAAAGCCCTTCTATCAAGGAGATGAATGGGCAATCCCTCAAAGCCAATCCAAACATGGACCACCGGGGATTCCACATTAGGTCGGAACGTCGGTGTCCATTTTGTCACTCGCATCAAATGACCTTGGATAGATCAAGTTTATCTATTCCAACACCGAATAAAATCCTCATCCGACTCAAAACGTATTAAAATATGTTTAGAGTCAAGCAAACCCAAATGGAAAATGCCGGTAAAGCCGATAATTTCGAAGGATTTTCGAATTATCGTAAGATTAGGTCTTCCTTTAAAGAAATAACCTACAAGTGAACACTTATGACGATCTGCCAGTGATTGTATCTCATCTTCCGGGAATTGAATAGCGGGCATTCCTTTAAAGCGATGATGAGTCTTCTCTGAAAGAGGTGGATCAGGCCGATCAGACAGGACATCCGCAAAGGACTTCTTCTTCCAGACATTCTTATCTGGAGGTATGGATGGTGTGACCACCGCCGCAGTAGCGGCGTCAGCCATGGAAAAACAAAACCTTCAAAAATCGCCTAATTCAAAGATTTAAGAAAAACCTTAGAGCTATTCTTGTATGTGCAATACACATCATTTTTTATTAAAATTCTAATACTTTCTTTTGTGTAACTGTACTCTACTCAAATCAAACATCAATTTTAATATTTTCTACTTGTGAGTAAGAGTCATATTTTTATTCTAATGAATTCCACACACCGCAAAGTTTTGTTTGATTTTCTTGAAATGAAAATTTCGGTTGTTGGTTAGACCTTTGCAAAACCAACATTAATGAGGTTTTTTGTCTACCATACCCTCTTGAAAACAATTGAGATTGTTTGTTGATAGTCTTGTAATATCATTCGTAGAGATATTTTGTTGATCCTCTTGTAAATTCGTAGAGATTTTGCAAGATAGTGACTATGTCAGTTGGTTTGGATATTCTAAAAGAATTGTCCTTAAGTAGATGGGTATGACTACTTGAATCTGTAAAATATACAAATAAGATAATTAAAATCTTATTTAAAAAAAAATCTTATGGCACCCGTGGGAAGCCGGGGCGAGCGAAACTTGGAGCAACGGAGGACACGGCAGAGATGCAAGAGTCTTTTAATTAGACATGAGACGGAGATGGAGAAGTTACCTTTGCCCTAAATCCGCTCAAAAGAGATGGAAATCTTTATTGGGAAAAAACAAAATCTGGTTCAAGGTTTTGAGCCTAATTTTGATTTTTTTAAATACAAAAGAGTTATGAAAAAGAGAATTGAAATAATCAGTTCCGGTCCCATTGTACTTGTCTAGAGCCAGAAGAGGTTTGGCCCGGTTCAATGTTGTATATTGCCTATAGTTTTTAAAAAGTTTGAATTAAACTTTTAATGAAATATAAGTATATAATTATCTCAATTCTCAAACACAATTCCGGTGAATTCAATTAAGTTAGGAGGACCTTAATGGATGGGAGACTTGCAATGATGGCTTTTAGTACAAGGTGGGATCTCTTATTAGTTATTATAATTTCCAAACCATTTTGGTAGAAAATGGGATGTCAAGTTCTCTAGAAAGATAGTTTTTTGGTACAAAGAAATCTTAATCCTGTGAAAGAATAATGATGCAATATACGATAGTATAAGTTATTGACAAGACTCACACAACATTGATTTACACGCCAAACAAGCCCTTAACTCTTGGAACATTGCTTGTGAATGAATTCCTTAACCTCTTGAATGAGTTGCGAAGATTCAGGGAGCTCAGGGAAAATGTAAAAGGCATGAATCATATTTGGGTACTCCAACAAGTAGGTTTGTTTACCTGACCTCTTCAACCACTCATAGTACCTCCTCTGCCAATCCTGGAGAGAATCAAAGCCGGCCACCACGACCATGCTTGCCGGAAAATCCAGCTTTGATATGTCAACTGCCCTGGGGCCGGACACATTCACCGCCTCGTGATCCCTGTCCACCTCCCTCCCTCCCTCCGTCGCCGGTAGAAATGCCCTCCACGTCCAATCTGTACGCGCAACTGATATCAGAGGATCAATATTTGCTAATCTTATTTCCGCCTCAGTCCGCTCTTCCCCTCCAAAGAATGGTTGTATAGCTACCAGCCCAATGACCTTCATTCTCAACCATCACCATTCTTGTTAGGTTATGTTAATATAACCATTAGTACTATCACATCATATATATGGGAAAAAGTATACTCAATAACACAAGCTCAAAGAAACTGTTAAATTCTGACACCTGAGATAACCCATATCATGAATTGAACTTATATTGAACGTGATCTCACATTCTCACCATTATGAAAGTAGATTTTTGTACTTTCACAAATGTAAACTTAAATTGGTAAGTGCATAATTTAAATAGAGTAGATTTAGGAATGAACACTTAAATCACGTGCCCCATGATGCTAATATCACTTATAAATTGTAATGTAATAAATTATCATATTATTTAGGGAAAGTTCCCGAAATAAGACTAAAACAGTTTCAAAATTCCAAAATAGGATTGTCATGTTTTTTATTCTCAAAATAAAACTAATTTACTGGCATGTTTAGAAAATACTGTCATGTTTGAAGTCTGGTACTGCCAAAACATGACAGTAATTAGTCCAATTTTGAGAATAAAAACATGGCAATCCTATTTTGGAATTTTCAAACTGTTTTAGTCCTATTTCGGGTAATATCTCTATTATTTATCTTACACACACAAGTTTGGAGTATTGAGTCCACACTCCACACTTCTCAAGCTTGTTGTGTTTAAGAGCATCTCAACGCAAAAGTCTCAACGGAGCACACGAGACAGTAAAGATAAAATAGAATTAATTAATGGAAAGATTTTCACTTTCTTCTATGGTGTAATAAATATTCAATTGTTTTTTATTTACAATATCAAGCACAACATCTAGATCTAGACATTGTGAATAAAAAGTAACTAAAATTTATTACGAAGTGAAAAATAGAGAGAAACTTTCTCTTCATAATTTCTTTTGTATCTATATTTCTCATGCCACGTGTGTACTCTTCACACATTTACATTGAAGATGTTCCTCCTAAATTTTCATTATTTACATTGGTACGAATTACGGAGTATATAATTAAAAAAAAAGGATGACACTCCATCCCTGAGGACCTCCCAACCCCGACCGGAGTATATAATCAATATATATATATATATAAGAGGAACTTTTTAAGAGCATACAAAGCGTCACATAATCCTGCCATGTCATTATATATAACAATTATTTACTTATTTTTATACCTTTTGTTTTTATTAGATTCTATTTTTGATTGCATAATGATATGGAAACAAAAATCCTTATAAATCCACCTTAATTAATTTGGTAAGCTTCAAATAAGTAAAATAATTTTTGGTTATCAAAGTGAAATTCCAATAACGTTTATTGATATGGAAACTAATTTATTTTAGTTTACTACACCGAATTAAATAGAAACAAATATGCAATTAGTTTACTTATTAATTTGACACCTATTAATAAATTAGTAAGCTTCAAATAAGTAAATAATTAAAAATGAAATTAAAATTTATAACCAACATAAAGTATATATATTTTCACAAGTAAATATGTTTAGCTTAGCCAAATAAGTAAATTTTTTTGGTTGTGTTTTTATTTTACACCTAAAACTCAAATATGCCTTCACTTTTGAAATAGATTCCTAATCCAAATTAGAAAATCTTTATAGGTTTACGAATTCCTACTTTTATTTTAATAGAATGCTTTTAATTGGATTGATTTCAGTTCCAGATTAAATCAGATCAGATCAAACTTTAATAATAATTACGTAGTATAACAATAAGTCACATAAAAAACAGACATCTAATAGACCATATTAATTCATACCAAATCAAACCTAAAATTTTAATTCAATTAAAAAACGTTCTTATTAATGAGTAAACTGTAAGATCTAACAATTAAGAAATATAGATTTTTTTTATTATGGGGTTCATAACAATTATGTTTACTTGAGATGCTTATGTAGAAGACCAATTTAACTTTTTTTCATATATTTTTTTCTTTGTTTCACAAATGGAATATGTTTCACATATATTTTTCATGGTTCAGAAGATTCCACCTATTTCACCAGAATTCAATCAATTTCAGCAAAATAAGTTAATTCTATTTACTTTAGTATTATCAAACAGACTCTATATTAGACTAAATTTATTTTTCTTTTAAATCACATTATATGTGATCCGATAGAAATTAAATTTCAAATTAGCTAAATTACATATTATTCGTGCATCGAGATGCACGGGCTTACTAGTTAGACATAGTTTGAAAAGCAAAGTATATAATTATACACGGAGTATATAATTAAGACTTTGTTGTTGGCTGCTACATTTATTGCCAAAGATAAATAGTACTCCATGACTCCTTATTTAACTTTTTTGTTGATTACTTTTTTTTTTCTATTATTAAAGTAGTTAAAAGGTAAGTTTAAAGTTCACAGAACCTGAAATAAGGCTGGGCCTCTGGTACGCACGGGAAAAAGGTCTACCATCATTGGGCCGACTGAGTCAACGTGATTAACATCCTCCCAAAAATCCTGTCGGGTCGGGGTATGGGGGGCTCCTGGGGTGGGAGATTCCACCTTTTGGACCAAGGTAAGTTTAAAGTTCCTTTCCTTCTAAGACCGGATTAAATCCGAGTAAATCAAACCCAACTTAAATTGATAAGACCGGATAAATTCATTAGTTATAAATTACATATGAACGAAACATTTATTCATTATGAAGTATCATTTAAAATAGTGTCCCTTCAATTAAATTTGCATTGTTTATATTGGGTTCTATATTTAGAATATTTTTATTTGGACTTATCTCAGTCTCAAATCCGAGTAAATCAAAGGGGTAATTTGAGTTTGCACTTCATTTTATTATTCAAATTGAACTTTGCACCCTGATTTCAAAAAAATCATTATTTATGCACCCACCCTGTATGAGGAGATAAAAATGTCCCTCAATTATTGATTATGTTGGCCTTCAACATATTCCTGATCAAGAGACATTTTTGTTTTTCATACGAGATTAGGCTTCAAAAACAAAGATTTTTAAAAACGGGACGCATAGTCCAATTATAACAATAAAATGAGATGCAAACTCAAATTACTCTAAAATCAAACCAAACTTAAATTGATAAGATCAAATTGATTTGATATTATGAAATACAGATGAATTAGAGTACGCAAATTATATGGTGCAACCGGCGCACCATGAGGATGGTGCGTCCGGTTGCAAAAACGACGTAGGATCAGATTTTTTTTTTCTTTTTTGCTTTTGTTGTTAAAAATGATAATAACTTTTTTTATTTTTGATCCGATTTTTATAAAATTTATATCAACATTTTTTATTTTTCATGATCTTTCAAATGAGACCAATATTGTGTATGTAATTTTAAGAAATTATCGAACTATTATATTAATGAGTATTGGATTATAAGAAAAATCGAATCTATTTGAGAGATGATAGGTTTGTGAAATAGAAGATCGAATCTGTTTGGTAGTGGATCAGTGGCCTCATTTACATTTGATAATACATTGAGTTACATCTTTTTATGAGCGAGTTACATCTTTTTATAAACAAGTTACATCTTTTTATAAGCAAGTTACATCTTTTTATAAGCAAGTTACATCTTTTTAAAAGTGAGTTACATATATATAAACACGAGTTGCATTTGACATGTTTGAACGCGACTTACATGTATTTACACGTAAAGTTACATATTTTTACACGTAAAGTTACATATTTATACACGCGAGTTACATATTTATACACACGAGTTGCATGTGACCTGTCTGAATGCGAGTTACATATTTTTTTACATAAAGTTACATATTGTTACACGTAAAGATACATATTTATACACACGAGTTGCATTTGACTTGACTGAAGAGTTACATATTTTAACACTTAAAGTTACATATTTTACACACAAATGTTAATATGTTAAAATTACATAGGCAATATTGATCTCATTTGAAAGATCATGAAAAATAAAAAATGTTGATATAAATTTTATAAAAATCAGATCACAAATAAAAAAGTTATTACCATTTTTTAAAAACAAAAGGAAAAAAAAAGAAAAACCGTCCCGGTATACGGTGCTCACCGTATACCGGTTGCACGGTATACACACTCATTAGAGTATCATTTAAAACATTGTCCCTTCAATTAAATTTTCCAACTGCTTATTTGAACTACCTTGTAGAACCCACACATTATTTAATGATTTCTAACGGATTTTTCCATATGAGGCGTGGACTTGTGAGTTTTGAGTCCTGTTCCGATCCGTCTCGATTAGGAGTACATGCCGAAGCACAATAAAAAGAATACCATTTTTCTAAATAACATTCAAAAAGTTCAGAATCAGAACTGAATCGTTGGTTTCTGATTCAAAATGGAATCAAACCGCCGATTCTTGGTTCCAATTTTCAAGGAATTGAAACCTGAACCGCACAAAATCGGTTCCAAAGCCAACAATTTCGGTTTCAATTCATTTCAGTTTTAGTTTGATTTTCCACTTCAAAGTTCTTTTTATTAAGTATCAAAGTTTAGTTGATTATTTCAAAATAATGTAAGAATAACTAATAGAGGAGTAGTGCGTTTGATTATTCAAATAAAAAAATTCCCAACAATTTATTACTACCTCCGTACCAAAAAATTTTGTCATTTTCAAAACTTTGACCAACTAAATCTTTTTATTGAAAATTATTTATAATATAAAAATTATATGAAAATGTTCTTTGTAAAAGTATTTTCACAAAAGTATAAAATTTATAATTCTCATAATATTATACTAATCAAAATCAATGTTCATATTTTTTGAAATGGCAAAGTTTTTTGGGACGGAGGTAGTATAATACGTAGTACTCCGTAACTAACATCTACTCCGTGTATTGTTAAGACTAAGGACACGTTTACTTCATGGGTTAGTAAACGGTGCTTATTAAGACTCGCGTTAATAAACGGCACATAAACTAAGCAGCGTTGTAAGCTCATGTTTACTTCAAAGGATTTAAAACACTGTTTAACATTAAAATGTCCAAAATAACCCTATAGATATATACACACAAACATTCATTAACACAAGTAT